CAATTAGCCCTGCACTGGGGGTCTACATCCCACCCTTAGAAGCAGCTCCTATAACCAGGTTAATATGTGCTTGGCCTAAGGCCCTAGCGTCAGAATTGCAGCCAGGAGGCCCATCAGTCAACATTAACCACTTGGAACTCACCCCCTCCCAAGCTCCAGCCCCAGTTTCAGCATTCCCAGGGCAGTGTGAACTGCCCTGAACACCCTCACCCAGGCCACCAATTTCTGGTTCTGAGCAGAATCCTTTCTTCCTTCTAGAAGCTGCAGGACCCGCCCACCTAGGAATTGTATCCCTCTGGGCTCCCAGGCCCTGACGCTGCAGACCTGCTTCCCCACACCCATGACCCTCACCCTAAATCACTCCTTTAACAAAGTTGGCCAGAGTTCAGATGCGCAGAACAATCCCGCTGCAGTGGCAGCCAGCACATGCCCACCTCTGTGCACAGGGTGTGTCTGAGTGAGCGTGTGGGGAGTGGAAGGAGTTCCCCACATGACTTCTTGCCCCTTTTGTGGAGAGAGGGCTTGGTTTGTGCTCCGGGACCAGGGTGAAGGGTCCTGAGGCAGGCACCGACCTGAGCCATCTCCTCAGCTCTGCCATCATCTCTCTCGGTGACTCTGGGCAGGTCCCTGGCCCTCTCTGGGACCTCGGGTATCTCATATATAAAATGAGGGAGGTGAACCAGATGGACCCTAAGGCCTCGTTCTCGTCTTCTGTTCTGTGGTTTGTGACCTGTCCTATCCTCTGGCCTCAGACGTGCAGGGATCATGGCCCATGCTGCCACGGCCATCTCCAGACATGATCTTTCCAGACACTGGCCACCTCAGTCTACCCTAAGTCTCCTCCTAACATACTGTCTCCCAGCTCTGTCATTGTGTGTGTTCTAGAAGCCTCCTCTGCCTGCTCCTCCCAGGGTCTTGATCTCCCAAGGACTGGTTCTCACTGGGTCTTGCATGCCCAATGCCTAGCATAGTGCTGGATGCATGGTAGGAGCTCAGGTTCCCTGTGTTGAAAGACCAAGCGCTGGTTGGCATCACCCTACTCACCTTGCCTTCCATGACTCCTGACCAGCCTAAGATATGCACAGCTGGGGTACTTGAGCCCCTGGGCTTCCCACGGGAGAGAAGTGAGGATTCGTCTCTCCCTGGGTGCCTCTGCAGTCCCACCAGTTCTCATGCACTCATGAACCTGACAGCCGCACGCGGGGCCAGGTCAGATCCTGCCGCTGCAGGGCAGGGTGGTGAAGACTTTTCTGTCTTCAGCCTTGAGGTGTTTGCTTAAGCACTGGGCTGCTCTGCCCAAAACATGTTCCTGCCCACACCCTTGGCACCCACACAGGCACACATGCAAGAAGCCAGCAGGTGCAGATAAGACCAGAGGCCCAAGGATGGACAGAGGTGGCAGAGTTCGTCTCCTCGCAGGTCTAGCCTGGGTTTGCTCATCTGGAAAATAGCTGTTTCTTAGCAGGACCAGCTCAAAGGTGAGATGTGTCAGGAGGGAACCTTAGGAATCCTTTGCTTTATCTGCATAACTCAGTGTTACGTGTGACTGTTCAGTGTGACTGTGTGTGTGTGCGTGTGTGTGTGTGTGTGTGTGTGGTTGCAAGCTCTGGATCACAGGGGAACAAAGGGATGGGCTTTAAGCCAGAGAATCTTGGGTGGGTTCAGAAATCAAAGAGGGCTTGGGAATCAGCTGGAAAGCCCTTCTAGAAACAGTGCTTCCAGGAGCAGTCGCCATCCTACTTCCTCCTGGGAGTACTTCCCAGCCTGGATTCTGTAGCTCAGGTGTCCAGGCTGCAGCTGTGACAAGCCTTCCTGCCCTCCTCTCGCTGGGGTCTTCCCTGTTCCTTCTCCATGCCCTGGAGGGCTGATCTGGGCACCTCTCCCCGGTACTCCCATAGCACCCTGTGTTCTGTGTTATGATGGTCTCTTCACCTTCTTGTCTTCCTCACTAGGTTGTGAGATCTTTTCAGGACAGGAATTGTGCCTAATTTATTTCACTGTCCACAGGATCCTGGCACTCGATAAGGGGTTTCAAGTGAATGAATGAATGAAGGAATGCAGCATCCCACCCTGGGGTGGGGGTGAAGTTGCTTCCAAAGGATTCTCTGTACTGCTCCAGAGAGAGGCATAGGGTGGCTGTTCATCTGCTTTCATCATGAAACACAGACGGTTTAGCAAAACTCAAGGCTGAGCTGCTATGGCTGTTAGTGTGTCCTTTGCTCCTTTCTCTTTGTTTCTGAGCCTCTGTCTCTATCACCTCTTGTCTATGTTTTTGTCACTTGTCTCTCTGTCACCTGTCTCTCTATGTCTTTGTGCTCCCTCCATCAACCCTAAATTTGTCCACAGTTTAATTCTACCCAAGATACCCTTAAGATGCCTTTTCAGCCATCAGAGACACTCTCCCTCCCGTCCTCTACTTCCCTAGCCTCTGGTCTGGTTTCCTTCTTCCTGGGCCTCCCACCAATGACTGGTCCCAGATTCTGAGCCCACTGTCCATCTTTCTTGGTGACGTCAGAGGAATCTCTGGGTTCATCTATCCCTACCGCCCTGTGATGTAAGGGCTACCTGCCCAGAAATTTGCTGAGACAGTAGAAAAGTTTTGAGAGCCTACAACAAGCTTCCAACTCCAGCACGTATCCTGGAGGCCCCAGACATCTTCATCCAGGTTACATTAGGAGTTATACCTGCAAGGGAGTCTGACAGTATCTAAAAAGTAAGGTCTTGTATAAGATCGAATCCTTAGCTTTGCAGGCTCAAAGGCTAAGATGACATCATAGACTAAGCAGAGGATTTGAAGCCATTTTAGCCAAGTTAGATTCCTGTCTCTTCCATCCGGATCTCTGTGACCTTGAACAAGTTATCTCACTTCAGTCAACCTGAGTTTACTCATCAAAAAGTGAGAGTAACATGCCTATATGGTTGGTATAAGAATTAAACCAAATAACCTGTGTGAAAACCAAGTGCTACTATGAACAGTAGGTCAGACTCAGGACTTACTAACTCACATTAATAAAACTCACACTGGATCAATTGGTAGCCCAGAATGTCCATGGGTCATTTAAAAGAGAAGCATGCCTGCAAAAGCAGCCCTAGACGCTCCAGCCAGCGGGGCAGTGCATTCTCTTCCCCGAAGGACGTAAAACCAGAAGATTCTCTGGTGGACATTGTGTCTCAGCCAGGGGACTTAGTTGCTTGATATTGATGGCCACTGTCACCTGGCTATAGGAAGAACCTAATGACTCATCTGCTTTCTAGGAATTTCCTGGCCGAAGTTTAGAACAGGTCAGGCTACCGATGCCACTGGGCAATACTGAAGATGCATGGACAAACTCTCACCCTCTGGCTCTGCTTTGTGTAAAGACTATCGTATAGTTGTTCATTCATTCCACAAGTCTATATTGAGCTCCTCCTAAGTGCCAGGCACTGGGCTAGATGGGTAGGGATACAAAAAAGCACTGCCCACATGCCCTCCTCAGGGAATTCACGGTGTTCGGAGAAAGACTGACAATTCCGTGCGTAATTACCGTTCACTGTGGTTAGTGTTACGGGAGTGAAGCAGAGGAAGCCATGGGAAGGGATGTGCAACGTGGCAGCTCAGTCCACACCGGGGTCTGGGGAAGCGCTCCCCGATGCAGTGTCCACACACACATCCTTCCCTCAGCCAGGCGTCAGGGCCCACTTGGGTCACTTGAATTCTGGCTACACCCTGACAACTCTGCGTGACCTCGGGTGTTTCCCTAGTCCCCACAACAATGCATCTACAAACTATCCCTAGGGTTGGGCTTGCAGACAATTCACTCTTTCATTCATTTAACAAATATTTATTGAGTCCCTATTATGTACTGAAGCTAGCTCATTTCACCTTGGGGAACTTTCGCCCCAACTTTTAGAGGTACCTTACTGATGCCCCCTGAACTGATTCCAGACCACTTCAGAGCCTCTGGTTTCTTTTGGAGAGATGGGGGGACAATTGAGGACAAGGACAGTGCAGCTCTTGATGTCTCAAAGAAAGGGTGTCTGGTGTCACGTAGGGACTCTCCCTCCCAGGAGGTAGATCAAGAAACTCCCCGACTCCCCACTCCCAGCCCCTGTCCAGAATTGTTTTCTGAGGTCCTTCTGCAGTACTCAATGGGCCTGGGATGGGCAGCTCAGCTGGCAGCAGCCAGAGCAGTGCCATGACCCAAGGAGACATTAATTCCTGGAAGCGGCAGAGGCCTGTGAAGTGGAGATTTGCTAGGCTTCAGGTCACCTCTCATATAATTGTTGTAAGTCCAGTTTCTTGAGCTCTTTTACCAGATCACAAACCCCTGGGTTCTCTTTGCACACTACCTGTAGGGCCAGGAATACTTTCCCCATTGTACTGATGGATAGACCAAGGCACAGAGCTCACAAGTGACTTAAGATTGGGGACAGACTGGGGACCAGGTCTCTGCCACCACCCCAAACCTCCTAAAGGTTCCCAGGGCCTCCCAGACACGGTTCTTCCCCTTCCCCAGGGGTGTTCAGAGGTCTACTGTCTTCCCACACCCTAGATCTCCCATCTTCAAAGCAAGCAGACCCAAGAGCACACCCCTCGGGTGGCCTCAATAGCTCCCATTGTCCCAGAGGCTATTTGGCCTGACCCCCGGCCACATAAGCAGCAGGACAGCAAGCTCAGAGGAGCCTGCCTTGTCCCCCTCCTCTGCCTCGTCCCCCTCCTCCTGGCTGCCTTGGGGGAGCCTGTGGGGCAGGAGCCCCGCTGAATGTGACCTATTGTCTTTGGGGTGGATTTAGGAAGTGCCAAGCTCCCATCAAACAGCCCTGCTCCCCAGGTAAAACAAAAAAAGTGCTGTTCATTTGGGACCTTTTCCCCTTATCTCTTTTTCCTATCTCCTCAGGCTTAGCTATGGTGTAGTGTTCAAAACCACTTCCCCTCTGAGCCAATCAGAAGCCGGGGCTCACCCCGTGGCCCTGAGGAAAAGTTATTTATAAACGCCTCCCTGGATTATTTGAGCAGAGCCGTTTCACACACCTCAGGAACACCTTTCGGCTGCCTGCTCCCCAGACACACCTGCAGCCCTGCCCAACCGGCTTTGCTCACCCACCGGTAAGCCCCACCCAACCCAGCCCACCCCATGGGGCTGGGGTCGTCCCTGCAAGGGGGCGGGCACCAGGGGTACTGAAGGGAGGGATGACAGGAGCCAACGGCCCACCTGAGCACAAGTAGGAAGGACACTCTGTCCCCTGGAGTCTGAGAGCAGCCCCCAGCTCTTCCCCTCTCAGGAGCCCTTTGGGTCTTCATGTCCATGTATGGACCTGGGCTGCAAGGCTGAGCTTGGCTGAGGGAGCAAGCAGGGTGAGGGCGTGGTGGAGGAGGTCGCCAGACCCCGAAACGGAGCGAGGCAAAGGTCTTCTAGGGAAAGGAAAGTGTTAGACCTTCCTCCTCGCGAGCCTTTGAAGCTGCAGGCTCTCCTCTCCCTTTCTTTTCGCATCTTGGAGGTGAAAGCTCTTAAGGCTTGGCTCACCAGCCCACTCTTTACGGCTGTCTCCCCCTCCTCCTACCCACGAGACACCCTCTTCACTCACTGACCTCTCCACAAGCTCAGGAACTCAGCACAGACTACACAGGATCCCATGGCTCCCCATTAGTCCTGAGAAGTTGGAAGAGGGGGAGGGGGAGGAAAGTGAGGAGTGGGAGAGGGTGAGCCAGGGACCAGCTCCGTCAGGCAGGCGGGTGCGCGGTAGCTGGACCGGGGTCACCCTACTCCCTGGTGAATGTTTCAACACAGAAGGGCTTGGGCCAGGACAGTGGATGGGCAGCCAGCTCCCCAGGGTCTCAGCCTCCAAACCCCTCATCCTGCAGCTCCAAGGGGTTCCAAGCCATTCTCAGGCAGTGCCCCCATTCCTCAAAATCAGCCCAGAGGTCCCCAGCTGAGGCCTGGCAACGCTTTTACCATTCCAGCATCTACTGCCTCCTTACACTTGCCCCACAGGTCTAAGCACCAGAAGGAAGGCCTTGGAGTGCCACAGCCCCCCATGTGGGCAGACTGAGGGAGGGCTTTCCCCCTGAGTGGCTTCACGCATCCAGATGACCCTCCCTCAGAGCCCCACAGTCCTCCCCCGCCTCCCTCATCCTGGCCCTGGCATTCAGAACCTGGGAAGACCCTGCTTGGGCAGCACCAAGACCAGCAGGCCCCAGGAGCACCTCCACTGTCAGGATGGCCTTCCCAAACACGTCCCAGAGCCAACCACCTGCTCTGAGTCTCATTTGTATAAACCCTGGGCAGAGACGGACTCTTCTTTATCTTTGAATGCCCAGAGTCTTCCGGAGATTGGCATAGACCCAGTATTCAAGAGCGCCTCTTAAACCGTACTAAACAGCCAGACTCCCACCCCCTTGAGCTTGCTGGGGAATCGAGGATCAGCTCAACACTGACCAAGCTCTGGGAGATGTGGGGTCACTACTTGGAAGATGGAAGGGGCAGGACCACCCCTTCAAGGGGAGTTGATCGTCACTGGGCAGGAAGCCTGGATTTCTGAGACCAGAGCAGCTGGGCCCTTCGCTGGTCTCCTTGCTCAGGCCCTGCTTCCAAGTGAAGGCAGCCCCAGTCTCCTTAAAGACTTCTAGGAATTTAACCTCCAGTGTCCATTCCAAGGAGCCCATGACCTTGTCAGGCCTCAGTGTTGGGAAGCGATTCTCAGAGTCCAGCCTCAGTCCCTTCTTTCTGGAGCCTATTTCCTCAGCCCAGCACCTAACCCCAGCAGGGAAAGTGCAGAGGGAGGGAGAGTCCGCCTGGAGATAAGGGCTGGGGATTTGGGGAGTGGTATCAGTGAATCTCTCCCCCACATGGGATGCAGTCTCTAGGACAGCCAGAGAGTGGGAAGACACCTTAGGGACATCTCATCCTCCCCTCAACACAAGGAGGACATTAGGCTGGGGTGAGAAGTGGGGAGAAATTTGCCCTGGAAACACAGGGACAGTAGAAGGAAGAGGAGTGCTTAAAAATGCCTTGGCGGGCTAAGTATGGTCGTTCATGCCTGTAATCCCAGCACTTTGGGAGGCCGAGGCGGGTGGATCACTTGAGGTCAGGAGTTCGAGACCAGCCAGATCAACATGGGGAAACCCCGTCTCTACTAAAAATACAAAAAGAAATTAGCTGGGTGTCATCATGCATGCCTGTAATTTCAGCTCCTGGGGAGACTGAGGCAAGAGAAACACTTGAACCCAGGAAGTGGAGGTTAGAGTGAGCCGAGATTGCATCACTGCACTCCAGCCTGGGTGACAGAGGGAGACTCCGTCTCAAAAAAAAAAGCCTTGGGGGTAGAGAGGTCTCTACCTCCTCCCTCCTCCTGCCAGGGATATAGTGTCCCGCCAAGACTCCAGCCGGCTTGTCCATCCCAGCTCACATTCACATCTGGGTCACTCAGAGGCTGCGCTGCCCTTGCCCTGTGGCCCCCACCCTGGATGAGGAGGGGAGGCAACCAGCAGCTAGAGCAAAGGGGAAACCTCCAAGTGACCTTTCCTCTTCCCAGAATACAGCAACCAGCCGGCTAGGAACGAGTGATAAGGACACCAGGGTGGGTTGGCCTGTTCCCGTGCCTGGCACACGTGCGTCAAAAAACCCCTCCCCCACATGCACACCCCCGCCAGGACTGAGGGTCAAGTCAGCCTGAGCCACAGTGACAGGATCACCTCCAGACCTGACCAAAACCCACCAATGGGCCCCTCACCGTCCTGCTCCCCAGATGGTCTACCCTCTTCTCACAAGATTTTCTGCTGTTCCTCTAATCAAGTCTCAGGAAAATTTGGAGGGATTAAGGCAGGGGGCAGCAGGTAGAAGGGCAGATGGAAAAAGGAAAACCAAAAAAGGCAGAGTGCCTGCTAGAGATGGCAGAGCCAGAGAGAGGCTCCTCTGGAGTCACAGCAGTAACGATAGTAGTCGGAGTTTATTGCATGCTTCCCACGGCCAGGTGCCGGTCCGAGCCTTTCGGTGCATCCACTCACTCAGGCACTATCTCCGCCTGAGCTCGTCTCTGCCTGAGCCCACCTCTGCCTACAGTATTCGGATAGTGTTGACGGAGACCTGGTCAGAAATGTGACTGGGAGGAGGTACTGGGGCTTGCTTTGGCATGAGCTCATTGGAGGAGAAGTCCTGGAGAAACCCAGGAGGGCATCTGCTCCAGCCCACCCCACAGGGTCTATTTTCCCATTCCTTCCCTTCTTCTGGCTCCTCCACCTCACAGGACCCCTGTGTCCCCTCTGCTCCAGGTTTGGCCCACTCTCCTGCCAGGGTATAGAATGGTCTGTGCACACTCATCACCTGCCTCTACTCTCCCTGGCTCACCCCCTACTCCCCTTAAGTCCCACAATCCCCCTAAGTCCCTCCAGCCCTTTGGGACCAGGCCCCCCTTCCCTGTACAGTGGAGGAGGGGAAGGGTCACCCTTTTGTTTCTCAGTATTATCACACGGCACCTGCTATTTATCCCTGACCTGGTAGGGGGATGGGAGGCAGTGGAAGGGGGAGCAGGGATTGAAGATACACACCTCTGGCAATAGGGCACTTGACTTTTTTTCCAGCAATGCTGACATCACGTAGCAGGGCTGTTTGTTTTTAACTGGGGATCAGATTGTCATGTTCCCTGAACCTGGCTCTCTCACTCCCTCTTCCACTTTCCTGCCCCTAACCTAGCGTCATAAGACACCCTCTCTGAGAACCTGAGACCTGATTCCCTGAGACCCCCATCCCCGCTAGTTCTCTGTGACCCCTCCTCCCCACCATGCCACTCCCATTCCCCTTCCCTCCACCTCTTGTCCTTACCTGAAGGGCTGGCTGGGATGAAGTAACCTCCCCTCCTAAGTCCCACCCCACCTCAACCCCTGTTCTTGGAATTAGGAAATATGTCAAGGGTGCCTCCTCACCAGGAGCTGGGGGAATTCCTGTGGCTGCAGATTTGCAACTCTGGATGTCATAGTCCTGGGAAACCAAGGCCAGAGGGGAACCAGAGCCCTCAAGAGGAGTAACAGAACCCAGAGGTCCTGTCCCATCAGCTGGGGTGGCAAGGTGACCAGGGTGGTCAGAAAGGGCCCTTCTGAATGCCACTCAGGGAAAACATTGTCCTGGGATCAGCATTGCCCTGGAAGGTCTGAAGCCCTTTCCAACAGGAACATTGGCGTTGGAATCAAGTGCAACCCCTTTATCTGCAAAATGAGACAATTGGACCAGTGTGGTCCTCAAGTTCTCTTCTACACAAAACTTTCTGACTCTGACTGGCTGCTGGGTTCTCCTCTTTATGCAAACTCAGGATTGTGAAAGCTCCAGAGCCTTCTCCCCTTCAGCATCCTATTTCTGAAATGAGCAAAGGGCATGGGAAAGAGACAGATTTTGTATTCCAGTAAAGCAAGGAGGCTTTTCCTCTGTTAGCCTGTGTCAGAGGGGACTCCCTAGCATCTTGGTGCCCCATCTGTAGGCAAGCCTACCCAGAGGGGCAGAACTAGTCCTGAGTCACCTACCTGTTGTTCCCTGAAGGACGTCCACCACCCCCGCCGCTTTCCTCCCAAAGGAAAAATGGACAAAGCCAACACGTGTGTACAGGCTGGAGGGGTGCACATGGAGATCCCAGGAGAAAGAGAAATCCTTCAGGGGCAAGGTGGTCAGGAAAGGCTCCATAGGCAAGAAGGAGGAGGGCAAGGAGTGGAAGAGGAAGAAGAGGGGAGGAGGAGGAACTTCAACAGGTCTTAAGGATGGGCAGGTCCAGAAAGGCAGAAGTGAGTCAGGCACCTCAGGTTAAGGAGGAAAGTGGGAACAGAGACCCAGGCTTGTTTGGCGGGTGCAGAAAAGACCAGCCCAGATGGTATGGAGGGACCCAGTCAACAGATTTCCTGACTCCACCAATACAAGGCCAGGGGATAAAAAATTAAAATGCCAGAATAGGAGTTTGGGCTTAATCCTCCTGGAAATAAGGGAGATGGAGGTTTCTGAGCAGGGAGTGTAGGCTGGGTTGGAGGAGCATGGCTGAGACCAGCAAATCAATTTTGCAATAGTCCAGGTATGGGATAAGACGTGAAGAGGGCGGCAATGGGACAGGCTGGGTGGAGCATGGAGGCAATGGTCAAGAGAGAAGGACAAGAAGGAAGGAAGGAAGGAAGGGAGGAAGGAAGGAAATAGCAGTAGGATTTGATGAACAACTGAACGTGAAGGCCGAGGGGGAGGGAGAGGACGGGAACAAGGATGTGGGCAGAAGGAAAGGTACCATGAGGAAGTGGGGAAATCAGGGCGGGAGTCTGAGACAGCAGGGTTCAGTAGAATCTGACGCTAATAACTCCCTTCCCCACAAACACACTACTGGAACTTAGATTCTTTGAAAGCAGCCTAGGAAGATGCTTCAGGGATCACTGCCTGCTGATTGGTGTGGAAGCAAGATCTTCCATCACCTCCTCCTCCAAAGGGCTCTTCTCTTCCAATTCAGCCCCTCTTGAAATTGTTGGCTGTATGTATATATACATATATACATATATATATATATATATATATATACATATATATATATATATATATTTTTTTTTTTTTTTGCAAGTGATCTGTTTAGTGGCCTGGGCTAGACTCCCCAAATCATGAGTCTTTCTCTGAAGAAAGTTCTGGAGCTCTGAGTTCCTATGGGTTGAGGTCATGCTTTCCACTCATTGAGCCCCCCACGCAAACCACCTGGACAACCAGACTCTTGCAGGCTCTGGGGCGTGTGGAGAGTGGGCACACCCCGCCTCACGGGTGGGTGAAGGGCCGGAAGCCTCTGAATAGCCTCTCCTAGGAGGTAGAAAGCACCCTCCCACTTAATCATAGTGATCACCGCCGCTACCATTTGCTGGGTGCCTGTGAAAGGCCAGCCTCTTCATGCACATGATCTCACTTAATCCTCATAACAACTGCCTGCGACTGTTATTATTCTCATTTACAGATGAAGAAACTGAATGTTTGAACCCAGGTCATCTGGCTCTCAAACTTGCACTGTTTTCCTTAAGTCACCCCGTCTCTCAATTCTCCCACTGAAATGTCTCACATGCCATTGCCCTTATTCATTTCTGCCCATGTCTCCTCCAAAACACCATTTATCAATTCTTTCTACAAGCATTTGTTGAGTACACACTAAGGGCCAGGCGAGGGCCTGGGCACAGGCGCTGGGGGCAGGTTCATTCTCCCACCTTTCCTTCCGCTGGGTATCACCTGTGGGGTCTTGCCGGGCATCCCACCCTCACCTGTAGTTCATAGTGGACCTCGGGATCCCAAGACCAAATGAATGGAATGCACCAGCCCAGCCTTCACCGACTTGAGCACAATCTTGTTCATAACAGAAATTCACATTTGCACCACGCTTTACATTTTACACAACCCTTTCTTATCCATTAACTCATTTGATCTTCACAACAACCCTTGAGGTATGTCTGTTACCCCCACTTTATGGATACTGAATCTGAGGTTCGAGAAGTAATGTTGCCCATCCCACGTCCTCAATTAAAGCAGGACTAACCCAGGCTTCTGGACCCTTTTACAAAAGCAACCTGCTCCCCTCTGACAACCTCCCCACTCACCCAGGCTCCCCTCTAGGAAGCTGGGGGCATCTCTAGCCCCCATGTAGTTACTCGCTTTCAACCCCATCTCAAATCTTTTGCCAAACTGGCCACAGCCACACCACTCTCCCCACCTCCCAGATACAAATCCTCACTCTAAGCCTGCCCCATCTCTTTCTTCTCTGCCCTTCTTTCTCTGCGGTCCTCCAAGCAACTTCTCCCAGCTCTGGGAGGTAGAGGGGAGGTGGGAGGCCCAGTAGCTGGAAGAGGGAGGGGGAAAGGTTCCTACGGGGAACTCCTCCTGGCCTCAGGGGCCCTGGCACTCAGCTCTGCCCAACTCAGCTCCTGGAACATCAGTGAGGTTGCGCAAAAAGTGAGGAGGAGAGGAGCAGCAGTACACAAGGGTGGGGGAAAGGTTAGGCACAGGAAGCCGTGGGAGAGACAGCCGGCAGGCAGACCATCCTGGTTTCCCCACACACACCATTGTCCCCCCACCGGGAAACCTGTTGGTGAAGTTCTAGGTGTCTTATCCAAGAAGGGTCCTCCTGAGGTCATCTTGGCTATCCCCCTGCCTCTGGGAAAGCTGTTTTCTCTGTTTCTTCCAAGCTGACTGGCTGAATGGTAGGAGCCTTTCTGCCAGGGAAACCGGGGTCTAGGGAGGAAGTATGGTTTGTTGGGGCACCAGGGGTCAGGGGAGAGTAGGGTCCATGTGCCGAATCAAGCGGGGACTCCTACCCTCCTACTTCTACCTCCCCTATGCTCAGTGGGGGTGATGGTGATGTCACAGGTGTGGAGTGCCAGCCACGTGCTGAGCGCCAAGCAAAACAGCCAGGGCGAGTATATGCATCATCAGTGCCTGGGAAGGAAGGCCACCTCGAGAAGGGAGTCTCACGGAAAAACTTGACAGAAGGAAGGGAGGCACCTTGCTTTATGGGGGCGGGGAAGGCCAGAATAAAACTCTGCTGCTGCGAGGACCAGAGAGACAAGGCCTGGGCTGGCACTGGGGAGGTATGTCCCCTCACCCTCCCCTCCTCTGCTTCTCCCAAAGCTTGTAAATGCCCCAGATATGAGCCAGCCCAGGCCCCGCTACGTGGTAGACAGAGCCGCATACTCCCTCACCCTCTTTGACGATGAGTTTGAGAAGAAGCAGCGGACATACCCAGTAGGAGAGAAACTTCGCAATGCCTTCAGGTAACTGGCCCAGAACCCAGACTCCTGCCTCCTCTGCTCCCCACCAGAATCCTTTCTGCACCAGGACACGGCTTCTGCACTGGTGTCCCTAAGATGGGGTTAAGGGAAGCCCTGGGGAAGCGAGGTTCTGTATAATGAATTTAAGATCCTACAACCTCATCTGTACTGAGACCCCCCAGGGAGGATGGGGAGCAGAAGCAAGAACCATCCAGAAGGGTTATAGGGCATCCCCAAAGCCCTGCCTGGCATCTCCCATATTCTCACTCCACCCGAGTCCCTTTGCGTTTGTTAAGGCATGGTAGATGGTCATGCTACATTATGGAGGGGTGGGGAGCATCAGAGCCCTTACTCCACGGCCTATTCCCTCCTTACAAAAAATACCTGAAGTTACCATCACCCCAAACCCTTTGTCCTTTCCTTCCTGGATGTTCCTTCCTCTGCTTGGTCCAGAGAATGCCCAAAGGAGGACCTAAATTCCTGGACTTTCCTGAGGGGACCTACCAGGGTGTAGTCCTGCCAGCACCAAGGCTCTTTCCACTCTCAGCTCCCTGGAACTGCGATGGTGGGTCTGAAACCTTGCCCCTAAGGAGGCGCTACTCGAGGTGATCCATACCCACACCCCAGGAGGCTGGGGCTGCCAGCATCACCTCGCCCTTCCCAGACTCCTGGCAGGCCTCCTCCCGCCTAGCTATAGGCCGGCTCACTCTCCCTCACTCCCCTGAGGAAACTCCCCTTGTTCCTACCGCTCCCGATTCAGTTACCCGGATTGAGGTCACTGGCAATGGCTGAAGTGGAGATGCAGGTGGAACTGGTTCGGGCCGGGGGAATCACCCACTTGAGTTTATACTAAAAGCCTGGCCCAACCCTGTTTCTCTTGGGAGGCTCCATTTCTGCCCAGTTACAGTCTGTCCTCACAGCTGTGCTCCTCAGAGCTGTGCTCTCCCAGTCTCTGTGCCCAAAGAGACTTTAGGGCACAAAGTCTGAGGATGAGATGATCTGCTGTTGTTCTAAAAGATTAGGACAATGAAAGCCGTAAAGGGATATAGCAAACTAACAATTCCCATGATACTGGCAGGAGAGCCTTGAACAGTGCCTGGCATAGAGAAGGTACACCGATAAATATTTGTTTCATGAATGAATGAATGTCTAGAAAGCTAATCCCTTTCTCCACTCTCCTCTTGGCCTCTGTTTCCAGCCCTTCCTCCAAGCTTTAGATTGCTTTGCCCAACATACAGCAGACTTGCAAGTAAGGTTGGGCATGGCCTAGCCCTCCAATGAGTTGCTTTTCTTTCCCCAGCCAGCTCTCTATTCATAAGCCCAGTTTTCTCTGCCACAAACAGACCTGATGGAGCCCCTGCAGGGCTGGTTCTCTCTTTGAGCAAGGCTTTAGAGTTGCATTAAGCGATTTACCACCCATCCACCTCCCCTTCCAGCGTCCCAGGGCTGGCAGAGGCACCCATGAGCCCCAGCAGGGACCAGGGGTAAGATATTGATGATGATGCCGTTTCATGGATTGTTAGTTGGAAGAGAAAATCTGCTCAGACTTTCCAAGGTACAAGGCATTGTCTATGTTGGTTTCAGTCTTGGGTGACATCCAGGGGACCGAGTGTCAGGGAAACTATGTTGAGCAACAGCAAAGAGCAAGAATTGGTGCTGGGCAGGAAAGGAAACCTCATCAGAGCAGGCCAGTGAGTCACCAGATGGGCCCTAAGTATGTGAGTTCCCTCAACTGGGAGAAAGAAAGCAAATGCCCCTCACCCACTTCCAGTCATCAATCCACCGGCTGTCACCCTTGAGTTTGTAAGCCCTTGTTCCTACCGCGCCCGAGTTTCTGTGAAAAGACCTTGAGGTGTTCAACAAACAGGGAAGGGATCAACTCTGCCCACCCTGCGTTGACCAATGAATTCTTCCCTCCTCTGCTGCCCAGTGAATTAACAGGAGAAAGAACTCCGGTACTGGAGTTCCACACATAAAGGACAGTGAGTCAGCAGAGTGCACCCTGCAGGAACAATAGAGCCTTCCTTTTCAGGGAAGTTCTAAGAAAAATGGCAGCAGGCAGGTCCCACTCAGGTATTCACTCATTCATTTATTCAGCAAATGTTTACTAAGTGCCCCTGTACAAGGCTCAAGGCATACAAAGATGAACAGGAGAGCTAGGCTTCTTGCCATGCATGGTGGGGTTTGCTGTCTAGTGGGAGGGACAGACAACAAGCAAGGAATTGCCCCACAGGATGCACACACAGTGGCAGGAGCCCAGGCACAGGTACCCAGGCCTGGGATCAGACAGAAGGACTCAGAGGAGTCTTTCCCAGAGAAAGGCCATCTGAGCCAGGGGATGGATTTGATACCTCTGAAGGCTAAGCCACCATGACACTCATACCTTTAAGCCAAGTCTTGTAAACTCCCCAGGTAAGCAGCTGGCAGTCAAAGACCTCCAGCTAATGCCCAGGGCAAGCTGACAGGCTCTCAAGAAAAAGTTCCTGCAATTTCTTCTCAGTATACCTGGCACACAGTGCAGGGAATTTAGAATGAACCAATGAATGAAATGAACAGGATATGATCATCCCTCTCCAACTCGGAATGTCCAAGCCATGCAGAGCCGACTGGAAATCTGCCCCTTTCCCCTCCAGATGTTCCTCAGCCAAGATCAAAGCTGTGGTGTTTGGGCTGCTGCCTGTGCTCTCCTGGCTCCCCAAGTACAAGATTAAAGACTACATCGTCCCCGACCTGCTTGGTGGACTCAGCGGGGGATCCATCCAGGTGCCACAAGGTGAAGGGGTCCCCTCAGCCAGGCCTGGCTTGCCGTACCCCCATCATTCCTCTCCTCATCCCCACTCCATCCCTCTGTGATCCCCACAAAACAGCCATGCTGCTGAGCTTCCGTCTCCTTGTCCTCTGCAGGCATGGCATTTGCTCTGCTGGCCAATCTTCCTGCAGTCAATGGCCTCTACTCCTCCTTCTTCCCCCTCCTGACCTACTTCTTCCTGGGGGGTGTGCACCAGATGGTGCCAGGTAAGGCCCCTCCCCTCTGGGCAGGCAGGATGACCCAGACCGAAAGGATGGGAGGTGTGGCCTAGGGGGCTCAGGAGATTTTCCATCTGCACTCTCCTAGAGTTGGTGTGGGTCACTCCTAGGGGAATGGTCACTGTGAAGGTCAGTCCTAGGGGAATGGTCACTGTGAACATCAGTCCTGGGTCCTCGGTGACCTTGGAGAAACCACGGAGCCTCCTTGAGTTCAGTTAGCATTACCTGTTCCATCTTCCTCCCTGGAATGAGAGAAAGACTTGGCAGAACAAGATATACTGTATGCTATAACATGGTTAAACAGATGTGAGAAATCACCATCTAACTCCCTGGCTGGTCTCAGCTGGCCACCACAGGGACATATGGACTTCTCTGGTGCTAAGTGAGATGGAGGAGAGCCTGGTCACAAGGGCTGTTTTCTGGTTCAGGCTGTGCTTATATTTCTGAGTTCATTTCCTCACGTGTCCGGTGAGACAATATTAAGCGTTGAGCTGAAAGTGCCTTGAAAAGCATAGATCGTGGTTAGAGTCAGGGTTGGTATTATTATGATGGAGAATAGTGTTGGAGGTGCAGGGATCCATCCACCTGGGGGTTGGGAAGCATTCCTGGGCCCCTTTCTGGTTTCCATGGGTGTGGTCCAAACATCTGATTTTTGCTGGCTGGGTGGGGCACCACAGGTACCTTTGCCGTTATCAGCATCCTGGTGGGTAACATCTGTCTGCAGCTGGCCCCAGAGTCGAAATTCCAGGTCTTCAACAATGCCACCAATGAGAGCTATGTGGACACAGCAGCCATGGAGGCGGAGAGGCTGCACGTGTCAGCTACGCTAGCCTGCCTCACTGCCATCATCCAGGTGAGGGGCAGACCCCAACCCTGCTAGGAAGGCATCAGACCACCCTGCCCTTGCTTCAAAGCCTTAGCTTTAATGCTAAATCTGATTTAAGGGGCTGGGCGTGGAGGCACATGCCTGTAATCCCAGAACTTTGGGAGGCTAAAGCAGGCGGACCACTTGAGGTCAGGAGTTGGAGACCAGCCTGACCAACATGGTGAAACCCCATCTCTATGAAAAATACAAAATAAGCCAGCCATGGTGGCATGCACCTGTAATCCTGGCTACTCTAGAGGCTGAGGCAGGAAAATCGCTTGAACCCGCGATGCAGAGGTTGCAGTGAGCCAAGATCGCACCACTGCACTCCAGCCTGGCGACAGAGCGAGACTCTGTCTCAAGAAAAAAAAAAAAGAAAGAAAGAAAGAAAAAAGGAAAAAAAATCTAATTTAGGGCTCTACTTCCTTCTCCCCATCCCAGGGCTAAAGAGAACCTTGAAAATTAACAGTATCTCCTCACCTGCATCTAGCAGGACCATACAAAAGAACAAGAGCTGCACCTGGTAAAACTGTCCTGAGCTTTAAAACTGTCTAAAAGACTCACAGCCTCTCTCCATTATCCCTTGGAGAAGCCCAACTCTCTGCCAGCACAGTCTTGCAGACTGCTAAGTTTCTCTAACATCCCTCACCCCGCTCCAGTCTCCTCTGCTCCAAGCCACAGCAGCAGTTGCACGACATAAATCCCTGCAAAAGATTGCAAAGGATTCTGCTAGGTTTTATGAAGGGAAGCACAACATGACAGAATGCAAGAGCAAAACGCAGTCCCAGAGAACACCTTTTCATTCACTCAGTCATTCAGTTTCCTGCCAAGAACCGGGCTAAACCCTGGGACACAGAGATAAGTAAGAAAAGGTCCAATTCACAAGCTGCTCACAGCCCAGCAGAGGAAGGAGCCATGTCAACAGATATATTTGTATGCAGTGAGATAAGCAGCAGAGTAGAGCTATGTACAGACCTATATGAACCGAGCAGAGAGTCACGGAGGACCTCAAAGAGGAGGTGACACTCCACCTGTCTTAAAGGAGGAGAAGTTAACCAGGAACAAGATCTACAGAGGATGGTTCAGGCAGAGGGAACAGTGCCTAAAAACAGTGAGACCTGAGACAGTGTGATCTGCCCAGGAAACAGCAGGGAGCTTGATGTGGCTGGAGAGTAGAGGACCCCAGAAGAGGTTAGAAAAGTAGGCAGAAGCCAGACAATGAAATCTGTGGTCTGTCCCCTAAACAGCGACTTTGGGTCTGATTGGCAGTTTATATGGATCATTTGGGCTGCCCAGAGAATGATGAGTGGGAGGCGGATCAGAATCAAGGCAGGGGACCTGTCGGGAGACTCTGCGGAGGCCCTGGCAGGGGTCATGCAGGCCAAAACCAGGTAGAGAAAGAGATGGGGCTGGACTTGAAAAGAACATTTTACCAGGAGCCGTAACAGAGCTTGGTGACAGATTAGATGTGGGAGGTTAAGGGAGAATGACTCTCAAGTTTTTGGTTGGGCAACCAGGTCAATGATGGTGTCATTTACTGAGAGAGAAAACACTGGGGGAGGACCAGGCTTATTTTACAGATAAGGAAGCCAAAGCCAGAGAGGCGATGTAACAAAAAGGCGCGTGCTCTAAAGGAACTGAAGGTCTGATGGCAACCATGTAGAGCACAATGAAGGGCAGGTGAAGGTCACAGATGGCCCGTTTCGCTCCAGCTACTGCTATCCCAGGGCTGCATGGAGCTCCAGGCCTGGGTGTGAGTGGGGCGGGTTGTTGGAACTGATGAGCTGCATCGCTCTCCCCCCACAAACCACCCTTTTCCTCCTCTCAGATGGGCCTGGGCTTTGTGCAGTTTGGCTTTGTGGCCATCTACCTCTCCGAGTCCTTCATCCGGGGCTTCATGACGGCCGCAGGCCTGCAGATCCTGATTTCGGTGCTCAAGTACATCTTCGGACTGACCGTCCCCTCCTACACAGGCCCGGGGTCCATCATCTTTGTGAGTCTGGGGATGCACCCCTGCAAATGGGGCAAGGCTCGAGCAGACACATGAGGAGGCTGTACTGTTTTAAGAAGCTGTGAGCACCTCGTTGTAAGATGTTGTCAAGCAAGGGCTGGCTTAGCTGTTGTTCAGAGAGGATTCCGAGGGGCTTTCCTTCTTAAGAGGCTCAAAGGCACGACCTTGAGGCTCACTGAGGTTCTTGGTAGTTAATCCTGCAGAAAAGAGCTGGACACTCTCCACCAGTTCCCCATTCTAGCGCCTCAACCTCTCCCTGCTTAGAAAGTCCTTCCTCACGTCTAATCTCCATCCCTCCTCCTTCAGCTCAAATTCTTCCAAAGAAGAAAGCATTCCCTTTCCAGCATGAGTTCCCCATGTACCTTTTGGGAAAGCATGGTGGATGATGGGACAGTGTTTCTGATCAGGGTTTGAACTCTGTCTTGGTATGCCTCCGTTAGCTTTGATGGCATCCCTTCGCTGGGTCAGACACCCAAAGGTGGGGTAGTATGGGAAGAAGGGGTGGGAGCCTGTGAGCATGATGCTCTTTCCCCCAGACCTTCATTGACATTTGCAAAAACCTCCCCCACACCAACATCGCCTCGCTCATCTTCGCCCTCATCAGCGGTGCCTTCCTGGTACTGGTGAAGGAGCTCAATGCTCGCTACATGCACAAGATCCGCTTCCCCATCCCTACAGAGATGATTGTGGTAAGGACCTTGTCCAGAGCTGGGGTGCTGGGGGGCCAGACTGTGGGAAGAAGAAACCAGCTCAGTCATGGCCAGGGGAGCCCCTACCCCTCCTCACCCCATCCCTTCCACTGGACAGGAAGTGAGATGTGAATCCATCCCATCTCCCACATGTGGTGCTTCCTCTCTTTCTACTGCTTTGATAATTTCCCCTAGGGAGGCAGGGGAGTGGGATTCAGGGTCCCCAGAGAAAAGAAAGACTTGAGAGAGACCCCTGCCCTGGCCCCAGCTTATGGCCAATCCCCATTCTCCGCTTTGTGGTTTGCAGGTGGTGGTGGCAACAGCTATCTCCGGGGGCTGTAAGATGCCCAAAAAGTATCACATGCAGATCGTGGGAGAAATCCAACGCGGGTGAGTCTAGTGGCCCAGAAGCCTGGCCCACCCGCACCACATGCCCCGCTAAGGCCTGAGCTCGGAGAGGGAGACAAGATGACCTCTACGAAAATGCAGTAGAAACTGTATGACACTGACCATGTATGAATTATTACTGTTTCCGGAGAAGGGCCACACAACCAGCAGATGTTGGCTATAAATGAGTCTTAACTGCCGCACTCCCCTTTTAAATCTCATTCAACTGATGCTGTTAAACGAAGCCTCTCTGATCAGCCCCTTGCTGGCTCTTTGTATTGCTCTAATGCATTGGTTCTTTGTCCATGCAGAAAGAGAGCTATTAGGTCCAACCAGATTCACGGAGCATCCACTCTGTGCCAGGCACCATGCTGGGCTCTGAGAGGAGAGGGGCGACGCTTGTCCTGCAGGGCTGGAGCGTGCACAGGAGGGAAAGCCATGCAGCACTAGAGGTCTAGGGGGTCTGTGGACTCACAAGCGTATAGAGTTCAGAATCTGGGAGTAAACAAATGAGGCCCTGCCACATATTGGCCTAGTGACCTTGGGCAAGTTAGGTTCTCTAAGCCTCAGTTTCCACCTTTGTAAAACAGGAGTGGTGGTGCCTACCCTATGTGGTGGTGCTGAGGATTCAGACTGAATGGGATAACTTAGGTAAAGATCCCGGCACACCATGGGGGCCTGGCTGGCCTCCGCGGGCTGGTGAAGGACTTGGCTGCCCTCCCTGCTCACATTCTTGGGCTCTGCCTCCTTCCTGGCTCCTCGGCAGGTTTCCCACCCCGGTGTCACCTGTGGTCTCACAGTGGAAGGACATGATAGGCACAGCCTTCTCCCTAGCCATTGTGGGCTACGTCATCAACCTGGCTATGGGCCGGACCCTGGCCAACAAGCATGGCTACAACGTGGATTCGAACCAGGTAGCTCTGGCCACCTCCGGCAGGGCTGGGCGGGACAGGTCAACTCAGGCCTGGCATGAGACATCTTGGCTGGGGGGCTCACTGGGCTGAGGTGAGGCAGGGAGGCCTCTGGCCTCCTCTTGACTGGGAGTGTGTGACTTTATAGCCACTGGGTCACTCTCAGGTCCTAGGCGTACAGTCCGGCTTACATGCCTGACTGCACTTGGTCCCGGTGCCCCTCCACCCCACACTGGCTTCTAATCCTGCCCCTCCCCACAGGAGATGATCGCCTTGGGCTGCAGCAACTTCTTTGGCTCCTTCTTTAAAATTCATGTCATTTGCTGTGCGCTTTCCGTCACTCTGGCTGTGGATGGAGCTGGAGGAAAGTCCCAGGTGAGCCTTGTACTAGGGGCATGGGGTGGAGGTGGTAACAGAATGGCTGCCCCAGTGAAGCCTGGGCACTGTAAGCCAAGCCAGCTCTTCTCCAACCCTCATCTCCCTCCCAGTCTCTACTCCTCCAAAGTCATGTATTGGAAATAAATCAAGAGCAAAAATTTCACACCTGCTCTCTCTCCCCAACTCTTTCTCGGAATAGGTGGCAAGCCTGTGTGTGTCTCTGGTGGTGATGATCACCATGCTGGTCCTGGGAACCTATCTGTATCCTCTCCCCAAGGTAAGATCCCAGCCATCGAGCAGAGGACAGCGAGAGACTCCAGGAAGAACAATCCCTGAGAGTTGTGTGGCACTTTCCAGACTACAAAGTGCCACCATGGTCATACTTAGTCTCAACCACAACCTGTGAGGTAGACAATGCAGTTTTTATCCTCCCCATTTTACAGGTGAAGGAAACTGAGTCTGAGAGTCTAAGTAACCTTGTCCATAGTGAGGCAGTTCACAGCACAGGGCTGGTCCCAAACTCCAGCCTTCTGTCCTCAGAGTCGAATCCCTAGGCAGTGTTTACACCTACCCATGGGCACCAGGCTCTCACGCAGCCTGGCTGGGAGGGCTCTAGGCATGCGTCATTTAGGGATGAAGGAAGAGAGGTCAGGCAGGGTTGGGACCAGGAAGGACCCCATGGCTCTAACACCAGCACTTTCCAAACCTAAGATTGAATGCAGAGATTCGGGGGATCGGCCAGGGGAGGTGTTCCCCATCTCTGTCCTGCCAGGCTTTGGGGTCAGGTATGTGTAGGAGGGCAAAAAGAAGGGAACCCCCCGGGGCATAGAGCAATGTTCTGCTTCTCTAGTCTGTGCTAGGAGCCCTGATTGCTGTCAATCTCAAGAACTCCCTCAAGCAACTCACCGATCCCTACTACCTGTGGAGGAAGAGCAAGCTGGACTGCGTAAGTATTGGGCAGCCTCCGGGTACCGGCCGTGCCCCTGCCCTCTCCTCCAACCCCATAGCCCTGTCAGTTGGCCCTGTCCTAACAATGAACCCTCTAGTCGGCTGCCTCCTAATTAGCATAGCTGAGTGGTTAAAAACCCAGGTTTCGAAGTGAGACAGCCTACGTCCAAACCCTAACTCAGCCATCTGCTGGCTACGTGGCCAGCACAAGCCCTTTAACCTTTCCAAGTCTTGGAGTCTTCATCTGGGAAATGGGTACTTTATACTCTCTGTCTCCCAGGGTTTTCTATGAAGAAGAAGCAGGGTAATACAAGTAGGCATGTTGTCTACATCGTATTTGATACGCAATAAAACTTAGCTGTTACTATTTTTATGACATACAGCTCCAAAAAAGCAAAAGGAAATCTTTAAAAAAAAAAAAAAACCCTAGAACATAAAGCCAGAGGACCTAAATCTTGAGCAAGTGACTAGACTTCTCTGGAGTTCTATTTCCTCATCTGTAAACAGGGGTGAGAGTCATGCAGTGACGGTTGCGTCAAGCCCTGGTTCCGAGGATTAAATGAGATCACAGTGGGAAACACCTCATGAGCATAAACATTCTGCAAACATGACTTATTGTTATGACTAGTCGCACACCCCACCACGTCTTCCGCTGGGCATTGTAATGAAGGCCAGTGTGTACTGACACTGCATTCTCTCCATGCAAGCCCCACCATCACCTATGGGAGAGGATTTACTAACCTTTCTTAACGACGATGAAACCAAAGCTCAGAACAGTTAAGTAAATCATCAAAGGCCACAGAGGTAGGAAGTGGTAGAGTCTGGATTAAAATCCCAAGTCTTGGACTCCACACCTCTGGGCTGGACTGTCTCCTAGGGAAGGGAGGCTCACCCACCTAGGGCAGGGAAGAAAAGTGGCTCGTCTGTGGTCACCCAGGGAGGGAGTGATGAGGATAGGGAGAAAAATTATACCTCAGTTCCCAGCCCAAGGATCTGCTTTTATCATAGCCCAACAAGTCCCCGCTATGGCAGTATTTCCTTCTGTTCATATGGCGACTTGTGTTTCCATTTGATCTTCACAGGAATTCTCTACAGGAACCTGGGCATAGGTCTTTCCTTTAGAGGAATGTGTAGGTCTTAAAATCTAGAGGGGGCAACTATCAAAACGTCATTCAGTGTTGCCCCCACACACACAAAACCAGGCCCCCAGCCGGTCAGAAAGCACTGCTGAGTTCCCGTTGCCCATGCGGCACACTGCTAGACAAAGAGAGGGAACTCACATTTATTGATCACTCGCTGAGCACCCGTCGCTAGGTTAGGACCGTTAGGCTCCTTAACTTTTGAATCCTTTCATAAGGTAGGCATTGTTACTCTCCTTTTGTGGGCTAGGAACCCAGGGTTCACATGGTCATTAAGGAACAAAACTTTGGGCTAGGTGTGGTGACTCAAACCTGTCTGTGATCTAGCACCTCAGGAGGCTGAGGCAGGAGGATCGCTTGACATCAGGAGTTCAACATCAGCCTGGGCAGCATAGCAAGAACCCATCTCTACAAAAATAAAAAGTTAGCTGGGTGTAATGGCACGTGCCTATAGTCCTAGCTACTCAGGAAGGTAAGGTGGGAGCATGGCTTGGGTTCACGAGTTTGAGGCTGCAGCGAGCTGATCTTGCCACTGCACTCCAAGCCTGAGCAACAGAGCAAGACCCTGTGACTTCAAAACCAACCAACCAAATAAACAAACCCAAACACATCTGACCCAAGACGCATGCTTTTATGGATGCTGCGTCCCTGTGTGTGCCAGGGATTCTTCTGAAAACACAGGCAACCACAGTCAGTCTAAGGGAAATAGGCAAGTGTAACCAAAGTGCAAATACTTAAAATACTGCAAAAACATGATTAAAAAAAAAAAAAGAAGAGCAGGTCTGAGGTTGTGCTAGCAGAGAATGGCCTTGGCTAATTCAGGAAGATTTCCTGAAAGAGGTGGTTTTTTCCCCAGGTCTGCTTTTGACATCTCTCTTTTTACAGTGCATCTGGGTAGTGAGCTTCCTCTCCTCCTTCTTCCTCAGCCTGCCCTATGGTGTGGCAGTGGGTGTCGCCTTCTCCATCCTGGTTGTGATCTTCCAGACTCAGTTGTAAGTAACAGCTTTCACCCTCCCAGGCCCACAGTTGGGTCCCTGGGCCAGCCTGTGGAGAGCTCCCATGCCACAGCCCTGCTTAGCCCACTTTCACCTCTGGGCCTGGCACTGGAGGTACTTCCAGACCCAAGGAGAGCCTGACCCAGCCAGGACTGTGGGCACAGGCTGGGCTATGTGATTTCTCATATCCTGAAAACCCCAGGGGCAGCCAGCATGGTCTCGCTAGGGACGGCTGGGGAGAGGGCGGTGGCAGAGAAAGGAGGGCAACAGCAGACGGTGAGATTCAACATCCTTCCAAAGACACCGCCAGAACCCCAAACCAAAGGGGACCCCACCCCAGGAAAACGCCAGGTAGAAACGGATGCTGTGTTCTGCACACTGGGAGTATCAGAGAGAAGGGGTCCTGGTCAAGGCAGGGAGGGTGCTGAGTGTTGGGGGAATCCTGTCCTCTCTTCTTGAGAACTCAGAACAAGGAAGTGATGACTTCAGGGTCACTGAAGCTTGTCACCTTGTGTACTCACCCCACTTCTCTCCCCTCCCGCCTGGTCTCAGAGCTTTGTCAAAGGCCTGTCTGTCATCCTCCTAGTTATAGGAGGCCGCAGGCCACCAGACATGTGTCCCCAGTGCAAAAAGGCACAGCAAGTCTGGGGGTGAGGACAGGACCCCATCCTACCTTGGCTCTGCCCCTGCCCTGCCCCAGCACGGGCACCCTTCCAGGCCCATGTACCATTAGCGTTCTCTTATGTTTTTCTCTTCCTTCTTCATCCAGTCGAAATGGCTATGCACTGGCCCAGGTCATGGACACTGACATTTATGTGAATCCCAAGACCTATAGTAGGGTAGGTAATTAAAGCTTATGACCACCTTCTTTTGCTCTGTGCCACCCCAAGGAGAGATTGCTTTTTAAAGCCAATAAAGACATTTCTACAAATTGAGCCCGGTCTCCCTGTCACAGGCCCAGGATATCCAGGGGATTAAAATCGTCACTTACTGCTCCCCTCTCTACTTTGCCAACTCAGAGATCTTCAGGCAAAAGGTCATTGCCAAGGTAAGGCTCAGTCCCTGGTGACCAGAGGCTCTGGACAGAGAGTGGCCAGAGGATGGAAGCAGGAGGGCAGTGGGAGCCGAGAAGAGGCCACTCCTGTAGAGGGTGGAGGTTGAGATTGCTGTTGGCTCTCTCCCTGCAGACAGGTATGGACCCCCAGAAAGTATTACTAGCCAAGCAAAAATACCTCAAGAAGCAGAAGCGGAGAATGAGGCCCACACAACAGAGGAAGTCTCTATTCATGAAAACCAAGGTAAATGGAGGCCAGGAGAAGCCCCCATGCCCTGCTCTCCTGCCCATTCTGATATTGCCCCTGTTACTCGTGGTACGCCGGGGCCCCACTTCCACCCTGAAAGGCAAAGACCGGAAGTCTCTGGGAACACTGCCTGGTGGCCACTGGGCATTTTTCTTCTTCTTTTTTTTTTCTTTTTTTTTTTCTTTTTTTTTTTAGAGATGAAGCTTTGCTCTTGTCAACCAGGCTGGAGTGCAATGGCGCGATCTCAGCTCACTGCAACCTCTGCCTCCAAGGTTCAAGCGATTCTCCTGCCTCAGCCTCCCGAGTAGCTGGGATTACAGGTGCCCGCCACCACGCCTGGCTGATATTTGCATTTTTAGTGGAGACAGGGTTTCACCATGTTGACCAGGCTGGTCTCGAACCCCTGACCTGAGGTGATCCACCTACCTCAGCCTCCTAAAGTGCTGAGATTACAGGCGTGAGCCACCATGCCCAGCCTAGGCATTTTTCTTCTTGGATGAGGTGCTACCAGTTCCCAGGGTAGCCAATGACCTCCCACTACCCTTCTCCATTTTCTGGCTAAGACAGGACATAACCCATGGACTTTCGAACAAATCAGAGGGGACGCAGCAGTGAATTTCCTAGGGAACCCAGGCAGCCCAGGGCTAGCAGGGCTGGGGTGGGCATGGGAGTAATTCCTGTAATCCCAGCACTTTGGGAGGTTGAGGTGGGAGAATCACTTGAGGTCAGGAGTTCGAGACCAGCCTACCCAACATGGCAAAACCCTGTCTCTACTAGAAATACACAAAAAATAGCCTGGCGTGGTGGTGGGCACCTGTAATGCCAGCTGCTCGGGAGGCCGAGGCACGAGAATCGCTCAAACCCAGGAAGCAGAGGTTGCAGTAAGCCGAGATAGTGCCACTGCACTCCAGCCTAGGAGACAGAGGGAGACTCTGTCTCAAGAAATAAAGGAGCTCAGTGTCCCAGAGGGTCTTCCTTCCAGAGAGAGTGGGTGGAAGCTTCAGTGCCTCTGCTGAGAGGGTCCTCTGACTTTGTCTGGGTTGTAGGAGACCAAGCTTGCAGGCCCTGCCTAAGAAAGGGCTTTGGGAGAGGCCTCTCAGGTGGGGTTTTCAGAGTCCGTGTTCACCATCACCACGCAGAGCTATTCCCTCCACCTACACCTGTTATGCCCCTGCTTCAGCCACAGCAAAGTCTGGCTCGGCCTGGTGGTCCCTGACTGTGTCCACTGCCCCCACCCCTCCAGACAGTCTCCCTGCAGGAGCTGCAGCAGGACTTTGAGAACGCCCCCCCGACTGACCCCAACAACAACCAGACGCCGACTAATGGCGCCAGCGTGTCCTACATCACCTTCAGCCCCGACAGCTCCTCGGCTGCCCAGAGTGAGCCACCGGCATCTGCTGAGGCCCTTGACGAGCCCAGTGACACGCTGGCCAGCGTCCCGCCCTTCGTCACCTTCCACACCCTCATCCTTGATATGAGTGGAGTCAGCTTTGTGGACCTGATGGGCATCAAGGCCCTGGCTAAGGTGAGACCCTCGGGGACAGCAGGCTCCGCCCCCTCCACCCTGCTCTCCCACATCCCCTTTCCTTGGAGCCCTCATTTCAGGGAGCTGAGGGACAAAACTCACCACGGAGGCTAAAGGCTCCTAGGAACCCCTCCTTTACCCAGACACTACCAGAATAGGGTGTTCTCCGCAGAGCGATCCCAGACAGCCAGTGACAACACATGGCTGGAGAGGTCTATCAGAGCTTCAGGCCCCCGTGCTCCCAACACCCCCAGCAAAGGCCATCCCAAGTCCCTCCGAGGAACCCACCCAGGGGCTCTGAGGAGAGTCCAGTTTGGCTCCTGGTTCATGATCTGCTGCCCTTGTCCCTCATTCACCAGCCAGCCTAGGAGAGGAGAAGAAATAACAGCAGTGCCCCACACCATCAAGCCAGACAGACAGCCCACGGGACACCCTGAATGAATGTATCTATCTGATAACTTTCCAGCAGCCACCGCCAATGGTGGGGAGTCAGCAAACCTCAGAGCTGGCTCAGGTAGAGACAAGCCAGGGAAACAACAGGCACAGAGAGTGTTTGGACTGACGTTCACCATCAGCCAGGTGTGGGGAAGTCCCCATCCCCAGCCTTGGGCCTCCGCTGGCTTCCTCAGCCGGGATCTGGAGTCCAGGCCAGCCTTGGCTGAAGCTCTAGACTCCCTGAGCCTCCGTCCTCCCCTGCGGCTTCTGCCTGAAGCCACAGAGGAGTCTGGGAAAATCTAAGCTACTGAAAGAAAAGATCTAGTCCCACAAGAAGGGGTCATGGTGACTTTAAGTGCCTGCCACATTGGCAAAACCCCATTTCCGCCCCCTGTCCCAAAGAAGCCGTCAGCCAACACTCCAGGGAAAAGTGGTGTGCTTTGCTGCTATTTTTATCTTTGGCTGCTGGGCTCTCGGGGTTGCTTATTTGTTTGACTTCCCCTCTGAAGTACGTTTTGTGAATCACTTTTGAGACCCACTCAGAACATTCCTTTCCTTTTGCCTCCCTACCCCAACACGTCCAGCTGAGCTCCACCTATGGGAAGATCGGTGTGAAGGTCTTCTTGGTGAACATCCATGGTAAGAGAAAGAGGACGTTTAGGGACTGAAAGGCTGGCAAGGCGGGTGGGGTAGGAACAGGTTGGTGGGGTCTGAAGAGTAAGTAGGTTGGAAATGAGAGCACTCAGATAACCCCCCAAGCGGCTGCCTGCTCATAAAAGCTTCAGGTATGAGTCCAAAGAGACTGGTCAGATTGCATAAACATCCTAGGGGTCCTGGTGACAGAGTGGGGATGAGAGCTCATGGGGTTAGAAAAGGACAGCTAGGATTCTAATCTACCCAGAACTAATGTGCCGTGTATTCTTGGAGGAGTCACTTTATCTATCAAGGGATCTATTTCTACCTATGTAAAATGAGAGGGTTGACTAGATGGATTTGGGGATCCTCTCCCAACCAGAATCTCTGTGAATCTATATAGATATAAAGCACACAGCACCCTGATTCTCCAGGGACCATATAAATATGCAGTTATATAGGCACACAGTCTCCAAAGGTGTGCATACACAGCCTCAAGGGTGTGGCCACAGAGCAGCAGACATCTACATCATTAGCATATATGCAAAGTGCAGAGATGTGGGCGCAAGTGCACACAGACACACAGAAGCATGTGAAGGGGCGCATACACACACACCCAGCCCCCTGCACTGGGTCACACCCACTCCAGCAGGGCCACAGGTCCCAAGCTCCGCATGGCCACGATTAGGGAGAAGATCTGCATGGCCTGCTATGATATGCTCTGAAGTTAGAAGCAGTGGATTCTACCCAGCCTCTCTGGACACCCCCTCAGGAAACCATCTCTAGGATTAAGAGTAATAGTTCTGCCACACATTGAAAGTTGCTGGAAAGGTCCAGGAAAACAAGAGGAAGGATGGATGCTTGGGGGATAGAACTGGCAGCAACCTCCTCAAGGACGGCTTAGGCTTTACCACCCAAATCACCACAAAGTACCGACTCCCTAAATCAAACTGCTTCCTTCTGCCCTGGGTTGAAAGTTCAGCATCCTCAAGTTCACGTTGCCCTCTGCCGTCCAGAACTGATATTGCAATGCCAATGCCATGGCCCTCAGATACAGCAAGAGCTCCGACCTCAGGCCTCTCCTTTCCGTCCTGAGTCAGGTCTCGCCACCTGCCCCACCCCAGCTCCAACCCACAATGGCTGTTATCTTTCTGAAGGTGACCTTTTCTCCTTCTAGCCCAGGTGTACAATGACATTAGCCATGGAGGCGTCTTTGAGGATGGGAGTCTAGAATGCAATCACGTCTTTCCCAGCATACATGATGCCGTCCTCTTCGCCCAGGCAAATGCCAGAGACATGACCCCAAGACGAAACTTCCAAGGGGTAAGGTCCCTGCACCTGGAGAATCCTAGGCTCCAAGGCACTGAAATAGCAGGACCACGAGGCACTAGAAAGAACACAGGCGAAGGTTTAAGTTCCAATACCAACTCTGCCATTTATGTTTTCTGATAGAATGAGTCCCGTCAACTAACATTACCTACCTCCCAGCATTTTTCTTTTGTTTTTGTTTTAGGGTAAAATGATAATTACATCTTTTGTGTCACTTGAAAGCACTTTGTGTTTTGTAAAAATTCTTTATCAATATAAATTTCCTGGTTGCACAAACCCCCAAAGCATAATCTAGCATGCCCACTCTTCTGGCACTGTTCCCTGCCTCCTCCTTATCTGCTTCTAAAGGGGGCTTTGGGGAAGGGAGTGAGGGAAGTAAGCCTGCCCATTTTAACTTAGCAGAGCTTAGAGATTTCAGGCTGGTGATGGAGGAAGAGGTTGGGTCTGAGTTTTGTCTCCACTTTTTGACATTTAATTTACTAGCTCAGTAAGTGACCTATAAACGGGATACAAATAACACCATCTAAAACTCCAGAAGGCTGAGGAGTCAGAAAAAGCCCACCCGCCTTGGGTTCCCTGCCCAGGTATCACCAGCCATGTCTCAGCCCTCAGGGTCCTCTCCCAGCTCAACTCCTGCCCTTGGCCTCCCAAGACTTTGTTTGTGCCCCAGCCCTGGGTAAAAACCTCCCCTTCCCTCTGTGGGTCATAAGAAAGGCTTTTCTGGCTCTGGAGCAACGATTTGCTCTTTGCCTTAAGAGACTGATAAAGGTGAAGCCATCTGCTCTAAGTGCTGAAAGACTGCCCAGGAACACACAGGGCGCTGGCTCCTGCCCTCCATGCCTAGAGGGAAACTCTGGGGAAACAGCGGGCTTTCCCGCTTCGTGAACTTGTCCGCAGAGCAAAGAGGGAGATTCTGGAGGAATCCGCATTATTTGTTGGTGCCCTAATCACGTTCAGCTACTCTGAACATGATATGTACACTTTATTAGTTACAGACTTATAAATAATTTATATTTTATATAATATAGTTACATATTATAGACTATATTCGTAGATACAAATCACACACATATACATACACCTTTTCAACAGCATGGTGAGGGGCAAAGCAGGCAAAGTGAGGCTGGTTATCAGGCTCTTACAGATTAGAAAACAGATTCCCAGGAGGACAGGAATTCCCCAAGATCAGGCAGCTAGCCAGTAGTTTTTCTAAGCTGGGTAAAACCTTCCCGGCCTCTAATAGCCCACAAAGGAGGGAAGACCCTGATACACACCTGTCTGGTATAAGGGAGAAGGCCACAGCTGTGCTGTTTTTAGGCAGGTGAGGGAAAGGGCAAGAGGATGAATCGTGTGTCAGGAAGCAATGTCCACTCAAAGCTGGCCACGTGTCCGTCTTCCTGCCACCATCCACCAACTTTGCTGTTCAGTCACTGAAGCTCATTCTGCACCGGCTTCCTCCCTTCCAGGCTCCAGGGGACCCTGAGCTCTCCTTGTACGACTCAGAGGAGGACATCTCCGGCTACTGGGACTTAGAGCAGGTGAGCTGAGGGACAGGGCTGTGAGGGTGGGAGCAGGGTGAGGAGGGGCAGGACGGGGTTGCTCTCAAGTACAAGGTGTTCACTTAGCTGTCTCACCGCCAGCCCACAGCAGTCACATTCAAGGCCACAAAGATTTGTGCTCATTGTTTTTTCTTTTCTTTTCTTTTCTTTTTTTTTTTTTTTGAGACAAAGTCTCACTCTATTGCCCAGACTAGGGTAGCATGATCTTGGCTAACTCCAACCTCTGCCTCCCGGGTTCCAGCGGTTCCCCTGCCTCAGCCTCCTGAGTAGCTGGGACTACAGGCCTGTGCCAGGCTAATTTTTGTATTTTTTGTGGAGACAGGGGTTTCACTGTGTTGGCCAGGCTGGTCTCAAACTTCCGATCTCAAGCAATCTGCCTGCCTCGGTCTCCCTAAGTGCTGGGGTTACAGGCATAAGCCACCACGCCCAGCCTTTGTTTTCATTCTGCTCACTCCCTGAAAGGCATCCTGGGGAGATGGTGAGTCACTGGACCAAGTCCTAGAGAACTAGTATCTATTCTTACTCTCCAACACATCACCCACGTGACCTCGGGTGAGCCACATACACCCTGGGTCCTAGTTTTTATCACCTGTGAAATTAGGGAAACATAAGTCATGCCTGTCCCATCTGCCATACAAGATTGGCATGGGAGTCATTTGTTCTTTCACTCATTCAGCAGGTATTTACGGCGTACCTAGTGTTTGCCTGACGGAGTTCAGGATGGGCACACAGCAGTGAGCAAAACAAAGGCCTCTACCTCTTAGAAACTTATGTTCTGGTAGAATAGACGAATTCTGGGGCTACAAATGAATTATTATTGCATGTGGACAGGACTTAAGAACTAAAAGACATGTGGCTGGGCGCAATGGCTCACACCTGTAATCCCAGCACATTGGGAGGCTGAGGCAGGCAGATCACCTGAGGTCAAGAGTTCAAGACTAGCCTGGCCAACATGGAGAAACCCCGTCTCTACTAAAACTATGAAAATTAGCCAGGCATGGTGGCACATGCCTGTAGTCCCAGCACTCGGGAGTCTGAGGCATGAGAATCACTTGAACTTGGGAGGCGGAGGTTGCAGTGAGCAGAGATCGTGCCACTGCATTCCAGCCTGGTCGACAGAGTGAGACTCTGTCTCAAAAACAAACAAACAAAACAAAACAAAACCATCTCCATCCCCATAGGGCCCATAGAAATTAACACCACCCCACCAATGCCCTGAATTAAAAGAAACCAGATGACTAGGTTTGGAGAAATCTGGCTTTGGGTCTATGAGAAATAGTGTCTCTCTTTGTGCCTCTTCCCATTCTTTTTGACATTGAGCTCCATGGTCCTCTGAATCCATCTCTCACAGTGCTGATGGCAGGTGGAACAGATTAGAAAATAGTGCTGGAGGCACAGAGATCTGGCAGACTGATTTCTGGGCCCTCTTGGAATCTCCAGCATATTCCAAAAAGCCTGGAAAGGACCAAAATAGCTTATCAAAGCGAGAAAGGACTCTAGAGCTTTTCCACTGCAAACCTTCATTTTACTCAATGAAGGAAGTGACGCTAAAAGCGGGCAAGGGACACATGGAAAGTCACACAGCACACGGGAGGCAATTCACATGTAGATTTCAGCACCTGCTTCTGGCACGCCAGACTGGTTCACCTCCTAGCCTGACCCTGCCTCTCCCCTGTTCACACACACACTCACACACACGTGCACATGCGGTGCCTCATTCTGGCCAGGGGTTTCTAGGGTCACCTCTTGGTTGCAGCCAACTTGGTTGTGACCCCAGCTGGTCTAACCTTTCTCTTCCCCTCCCACTTCCTTCCTGTGGCTCCTGCAGGAGATGTTCGGGAGTATGTTTCACACAGAGACCCTGACCGCCCTGTGAGGGCCCCGCCAGTCCTCACGCTGCCTACAGAGTGCCTGGCACTTGGGACTTCCACAGAGGAGGAACCCGGGGTCGCAGGGAGTGTGGGGAGAAGGAAGGTGCACCCCCAGGGCCCGCATTCCTCTCTCCTCTCCCCCTTTCTCCTCCCCTCCTTCCCTCCCTGCATCTCCAGAGGGAGCCTCTCAGCAGCAGGGGGCGCTACCCTTACAGGAGTGAGAGTCTGGGCCAGTCTTCACTGGTCAGGCCCTGGCCACAGTGGGCAAGCCTCCTGACCACTCCACCCCACCCACCTCGGCCCTGTCCTTGGCAGCTGAAGGACACCTTGACTTCCAGCTTTTACAAGTGAGCCAAAAACAGAAGGACAAGTACAACTGTGCTGGCCTCCTGTGCAAGCTTCAAAAAGTGTCCCAGGGCCCGCATGGCTCGGTGTCAGATGGTGTCAGGCTGTCACGGGACATAGGAAAAAACTTGGTTAGGACTCTGGCTCGCCTTCCCCAGCTGCTTCAACGCTGTCTCTGGAAGCTCTGCACCCAGGGAAGGCCTTGGTAACTATGTGACCCCCACATCATCCCAAGGCTGCCCAAGCCACCTCTGCTGTCAGCACATCAGACTCTAGCCTGGACAGTGGCCAGGACCATCAAGACCACCGGAGCTACCTCCCCAGGGGCAGCCCACTAATGTTCTGCCTCAGCCTCCTGAAACATTGCTGCCTCTACCCTCAGAGGCTGCTCCCTTCCCCTGGAGGCTAGGTAGAAACCCCAAAGAGGGAGATCGGTAGCTGGCAGAATCCTCTGGCAACCTAGAAATAGATACCAGCAATTCTGCACAAAAGCTTTTGGGAATCCCTCTTTGTATCCAGAGACTCAGAGGGGAGGAGGGTGCTAGTACCAACACAGGAAAAACTGATGGGACCTGAGCCCCGACAGTCTCCCTTGACCTCAGGGACCAGCAGGGAAATGCCTCCCCTTGGTAAATCTGCCTTGTCCTTTACCTGGCAAAGAGCCCATCATGTTAACTCTTCCTTACCTGCTTGTGGCCCAGAGCCACGATTGGGGTTCTTTGCAGGCAAGGGAGGAGGTCCTCCAGGATCCGCTGCATCCCCTGTCTGCATGCAGATGTGGAAGGGGGCTGATCCAGAGAGCGTCTTCCTCCACAGGAAGATTCCTTAAGACCCTTAAGACCTGAGGTCATCTTCTCCTAAGAGAATGAAAACAGGGGCTAAGCTCTCCATATATACAAGGAGGTATTGAGAGGAACCCCACAGTTGACTTGAAAATAAATAGGTTCCATGTGTAAGTGTTTTGTAAAATTTCAATGGAAATGCACAGAAAATCTTCTGGCCTCTCGTCACTGCTTTTCTCAGGCTTCTTCAACTTAATGACCCCTTCTCTAACAGGTTGGGCTGGCCCAGCCTAGGAAAACATCCCAATTTCTAACTTCAGCCAGACCTGCATTGTGTGTCTGTGTGTTGAGTGAGCTGGTCAGCTAACAAGTCTTCTTAGAGTTAAAGGAGGGGGTACTGGCCAAGAGCCAACACATTCTTGGCCCATGAGTATTGCTTTTCTGTGAATTCATTATGCCATCTGGCTGCCAATGGAACTCAAAACTTGGAAGGCGAAAGACAATGTTATCTGGGATTCACCGTGCCCAGCACCCGAAGTGCCAAATTCCAGGAGGACAAGAGCCTTAGCCAATGACAACTCACTCTCCCCTACTCCACCTCCTTCCAAGTCTAGCTCAGGCCCGGGAGGTGGGAGAAGGTCACGGAGCCTCAGGACATCCCAAGTCAGAGCCCCCTTTGAACCAAGTATCAAGATCCCCTGAGAACTTGACGAAGTTACCCTTAACCCCCAGAACAGCCTCGGAACTGAGGGGGATTGTTGGCCCAGTGGCCTGGAGTTGGGGCTCAGAGAGAACAGGGCCCGCCGTGGAGGCGAGATTGAAACACGTGGGGCAGAGGGAAGACACTGAAGAAAACATCTCTGCTTGAATATTGGGAAGGAACACTCTTCTGGACTTGGTTGGAGCAGGAAGGATGGAGGCAAAGTAGTGAAATAATCCAGAATTTCAATGCTTTTTAATGTTCTTAGTGATACTGACCTGTGATGATATGATTCCCAGGGAGGACTGGGAACCTTATCTCTTGAGATATTTGCATAATTTATTTAATTTAAGCCTCATTCTCCTTTTGTTCGTTTTGGTAATAAAGTGGATTTGAAAAGTGAACAAATGCACATGTTTGGGTGGTTTTATAGAAAATCAAAACAAGTCATCTCCACGGAGACCTGGCCTTGCTTTGCATTATCCTGGCGGGAAGCAGTGAGGACTCAGATTTCTCCATGGGTCTCCCAGCTCCTCTCCAGGTTCTAATTTTCCACTCCTAGGAATGCATAAACTTCCATGATCCAGCTAAAGAACAGAAACTGGGGAGAGAAGATTGGGCTGAGGGGTCCCTACACCCAGGACCAGTACCCACAGCCAAGTCTGTGATTTTCATGGCTATACGGGATGTCAAAGCCCCATCATCCCTCTACATACCTTTCACTCACCAATTCTTTCACACTCATGGGATGCCTATTAAGGCCAATCCCATCATTACCCAGCAAAGCCTTTGGAATCCTTAGTTTGGGGGAGCACACAATCTAATCCCACCTTTCGCTCTCCTGTTTGTGTGACACTGCAAGGAGAGTGAGGCCACGGGATTCAATTGTCTTACAAGCTAGGTTGGCTCTCAACTGTGTTTACCAACAATCAGAAAGGGCAGAAGATAATAGGAATCACAGAAAAACAAAAAGCAAAGGCATAAAGGAGACAGAAAGAGGATGAGGTGGAAAGAGATGAAGGACCAGAGATTAAACAAAACAAAGAGGGAAGGGAGATGAATGGTCAATGGAATGGAGATACACAGGAATAAAAAGATGGGGAGAGGCCAGGCACAGTGGCTCATGCCTATAATCCCAACTGTTTGGGGATTTAACGGGTTACTTGAAGCCAAGAGTTCAAGACCAGTCTGGCCAACATAGTGAGACCCCTCTCTCTTAAAAAAAAAAAAAATGGGAGAACTAGAAGAAGGAGAAACAGTTGAAGAAAGTGAATATGTTGCAAAGGCAGAGAAGTCAATGAGTCCCAAAATGATATTTATTTAAGATAAACTACCCTTGCTTTGGCTATTCAGCTGAGCTGTGGGATTTGGGTAAATTAGCCATTAGCATCCCTCCCATAGGAGTTTTAGACTTTTTTTTCCAATGATGCTATGTTAGCCTGATTCCCCCTGGATGCAGAACCTGAGACAAGTCTGTGCTTGGGCTATTCAGGCAGTGATCTCAGGGAGAGGAGTGATGCACAGAGTGAGAGCCAGCACAAGAATGAGCCACTGTGAAAGGCAACTGGGGCTCCACCCGCCCATCCTTCCCAGGAGAGCTGTGAGATGCATCTGCAAACTGTCCTAGAGAAGAAACATTGAACCATCACACCCACATTCCATTGATCAAGGATGGCCCTATGGGTATTAACTCTTCAAAAAATATAGGATGCATGGACATGCGTGCAGAGCAGTTCCCCAAGGTGACCTATGCTAGGGCATCAGTTATGCACCCGCAGGAAGGAAGAAGTATGGCATAGCTCCTGGGAGGGGCTGGACCACCCAGAACCATTATTCCAACAGAGGTTTAGTAGGAGGGTTCTGAGTGGCACGTAAGCAGCATCTACATCGGATACATTTCTTTAGGCTTTCATCTTCCAAACCCACTGTGACCTATGTAGTTGTCTAACTACAACATAGCATTAGTCGTATAAGGAGGAGTATAGAAGCATTTGTAAGACAGCCATCTCACCATTCTAGACTGGAATGGCATCATTTTAAGACTGTGAATCCCTGAACATGCCCAAGATGAGGTAAACTAACCGCCCACCAGGGAAGTTCTCAGAGGAGCTGCTGCTCTAGACGGTAGATCATATAAGATGACACTGAGACCTCCTATCTCTAAATCGCATAACATGAAAGCAGATTCTTTAGAATTATGGGAGTTACTTCCTACGTCCAGAGCTGGAAGTAAACTCTTTTCTTTCAACAAAGATTTTTGTTTAAATAAGGGACTTTTTTAACAAACTTTTTATTTGGAAATAATTTCAAACTAATAAAAAGTTACAAAGCTAAAAGTATCACAAGAGGCTAGATGCAGTGACTCACACCTGTAATACGAGCACTTCGGGAGGCCAAGGCAGGAAGATCATTTGAGGCCAGGAGTTTGAGACCAGCCTGAGCAACAAAAGGACATCGCCACCCCTACCCCCATCTCTACAAAGACAATTTAAAATTTGTTTAAAGTAGTTGTGCATGGTGGCACATGCCTGTAGTCCTAGCTACAGGAAGGCTGAGACAAGAGGATCACTTGAGTCCAGGGATTTGAGATTACAGTGAGCTATGATTGTATCACTGTACTCCATCCTAGGCAACAGAGCAAGACCTTGTCACTAAAAAGCAAAAAAAAAATCGCACAATAAACACTGTATGCTCTTTAATCTGGTTCACTTATGGTTAACATTTTACCCCATTTGCTTTATCATTTACCCTCTCTCTCTCTTTTTTTTTTTT